CTATATTATTTATAATTTTAGCCGATCGATTAATTACACATGACATATACAAATTGCAGTGAAGAAGAACGGCTTCGCCGCCTACTCAAATGTAAAGAGCTGTCTGATTGCGCATAATATTAAAAAAGATAAACGAATAAGAATATATTTGGTACCTAAATTTTCGACAAGATCTTAAAAAAAAAAAAAAAAACACATTTTTTCCTCATTATCAAAATATGAAGTATCAAAATATGTTAATTACTATATATTCCAAAGATACTTGTTCATTTTTTCACAATATTAATTTGACGCGATTAAAAAATGAGAAATATAAATATATGAGATGTAGATATTTTAAGTCACGTATTTGCAACTACGTGACTAAACAAAAACTCGGAAATGTAGTACGTGCTCGATCGTATTTAATGATACTTTAGATTATATGAATACGTGAGAGCAACTAATCAGTATCATTATACATTAACAATTACTTACCAAGAACGTCGGAGTTGACTAAAACGCTACAGCTATACATCGCCGTCATCAGTCGGGGGTGTCGCAGGCTGAAAATTCGTCGACAAGCCTCTTTACACGCCGACATTAATTGACCGCCCAAATGTCCCTGGCTCTGGCCACCGGAATCGCTGCAATGTTTCATACATCTTATATCATTCTTTTTTTATACTCGTGTATTTAGTGTTTACTAAATTCTTCAATAACACGGCTAAATACGACTTCTATATATTTATATATATTATATATTTATATATATTTATATACAGGGTGTCCCGAAATGTTTTACCGAACGTTCTTGTGTAGATAGGGGATTAAACTGTAAGTCGAAAAGTCCTTTACCATTTTGCAATTTTCGCAATACAAGATATTAATTATTAAAATTTGCCGAATATTGGTCTTCAATTTTTTTTTTCATAAGAATTTTTTCAAAATTTTCTCAGAATTTTTTAATATCGTATTTTCTCATGTTGATAAAAATAAAAAAATTGTACTAAAAGGTTTATAAAAAATTTTGAAAAATTTAAGTATTTTTTCAAAAATTCATCATAAACCGTTCTATGAAAAGAAAATAAATAATTTTTTTCTCTCGCTGTTTTTCTATAAAGTTGATAATATTTAAGTAAAAAATTATTGAAAATCAATATTCAGCGATTTTTAATAATTAATATCTTGTTAACTATGAAAAAAAATTACAAAATGGTAGAGAACTTTTCGACTCAATTTAATCCTCTGTCTGCACAAGAGCGCTTAGTAAAAAATTTTGGGACAAAATATATATTCTATAAATATATAT